TTCTCAAACAGTATGTGATCGAACATACAAGGGAGTGAGCTCTTGTGGGTCTGGTCCTGTGTAATGAGACAGAAATATTCAATGAAAGTTAGGGATCCTCTCGGAAGGAGCGATCATAATATGGCTGAATTTAAAATACAGATGGAGGGTGAGAAGGTAAAATCCACTGCAAGTGTCTTGTGCTTAGACAAAGGAGACTACAATGGGATGTGGGAGGAGACAACAAGGTGTGGAGCTGGATGAACACAGCAGGCCAAACAGCATCAGAGGAGCAGGAAGGCTGACGTTTCGGGTCTAGACCCTTCTTCAGAAATGGGGGAGGGGAAGGGGATTCTGAAATAAATAGGGAGAGAGGGGGAGGCGGATAGAAGATGGATAGAGGAGAAGACAGGTGGAGAGGAGACAGACAGGTAAAGGAGGCGGGGTTGGAGCCAGTAAGGGTGAGTTAGGGACGGGATAGGTCAGTCCAGGGACAGATCAAGGGGGCGGGATGAGGTTAGTAGGGAGGAGATGGGGTTGGGACTTGAGGTGGGAGGAGGGGATAGGTGGGAGGAAGGACAGGTTAGGGAGGCGGGGACGAGCTGGGCTGGTTTTGGGATGCGGTAGGGGGAGGGGAGATTTTGAAGCTTGTGAAGTCCACATTGATACCATTGGGCTGCAGGGTTCCCAAGCGAAATATGAGATGCTGTTCCGGCAACCTTCGGGTGGCATTGTTGTGGCACTGCAGGAGGCCCAGGATGGACAAATCGTCCAAGGATTGGGAGGGGGAGTTGAAATGGTTCGTGACTGGGAGGTGCAGTTGTTTGCTGCGAACCGATCGTAGGTGTTCCACAAAGCGGCCCCCAAGCCTCCTGGGAGCAAAGACTATATGGTGGGACAGCTAAGGAACAATGGAGGACTTTCAAAGCGATTTTTCACAGTGCTCAGCAAAAGTATATACCAGTGAAAAAGAAGGACTGTAGGAGAAGGGATAATCAGCCATGGATAACTAAGGGAATAAAGGAGGGTATCAAATTGAAAGCTAATGCATACAAAGTGGCAAAGACCAGTGAGAAACTGGGGGATTAGGAAAATTTTAAAGGTCAACAGAAAGTGACGAAAAGAGCTTTAAAGAAAGGTAAGATAGATTATGAGAGTAAACAATCTAAGAATATAAAAACAGATAGCAAAGATATAAAATGAGAAAGTGTGGCTAGGGTAAACGTTAGTATTTTAGATGGCAAGAAGGGGGATTTAATAATGGGAAATTAGGAAATGGCCAAGGCATTGATTTTGGGTTGGTCTTCACAGTGAAAACACAAATAACATGCCAATAATGGATGACAAGGAGGCTATGACAGGTGAGGATCTAGAAATGATCATTATCATGAAAGAGGTAATGTTGGGCAAGCTAATGGGGCTAAAGGTAGACAAATCTCCTGGCCCTAATGGAATGCAGCCCAGGGTACTAAAGGCAATGGCAGGGGAAGTAGCAAATGTGCTTGTGGTAATTTACCAAAATTTGCTGGACTCTGGGGCAGTTCTGGCAGATTGGAAAACAGCCAATGTGATGACACTGCTCAAAAAAGGAGGTAGACTAAAGGCAGGTAACTATAGGCAAGTTATCTTAACTTCTGCAATAGGGAAAATGCATGAGTCTATAATCAGGGAAGAAATAGCAAGACATCCAGATAGAAATTGTCCCATTGGGCGGATGCAGCATCGGTTCAGGAAAGGCAGGTCATACTTGATTAATTTGCTGGAATTCTCTGAAGACATTACGAGCGCAGTGGACAATGGGGACCCAGTAGATGTGGTGAATCTGGATTTCCGAAAGGCATTCGACAATGTGCCGCACAAAGACTGCTGCGTAAGATAAAGGTGCACAGTGTTACAGGCAATGTATTAGCATGGACAAAGGATTGGTTAACAAACAGGAAGCACAGAGTGGGGATAAATGAGTACTTTTCTGGTTGGTGATCAGTGACTAGTGGTGTGCCTCAGGCATCAGTGTTGGGACCACAATTGTTTACAATTTACATAGATGATTTGGAATCGTGTCTCAAAGTTTGCAGATGACACTAAGATGAGTCGAAGACCAAAGTGTGCAGGGGACTCAAAGTTTTCAGAGGGATATAGATAGGTTAAGTGAGTGGGCAAGGGTCTGGTAGATGGAGTATAATGTTGATAAATGTGAAGTCATCCATTTTGGTAGGAATAACAGTAAAAGGGACAATGATTTGAACGGTAAAAAATTGCAGCATGCTGCTGTGCAACCTGGGTGTCCTTGTGCATGAATCACAGAAGGTTGGTTTATAGGTACAAAGAGTAATTAAGAAGGCAAATGGAATATTGTCCTTCATTGCTAGAGGGATTGAGTTTAAAAACAGGGAGGTTATGCTGTAGCTGTATAGGGTGCTGGTGAGGCCACACCTGGAGTACTGTGTACAGTTTTGGTCTCCTTACTTGGGAAAGGATGGACTGGCACTGGAGAGGGTGCAGAGGAGATTCACTGGGTTGATTCTGGAATTGAGAGAATTGGCTTATGAGGAGAAATTGAGTAGACTGGGACTGTACTCATTAAAATTTAGAAGAATGAGGGGAAATCTGATAGAAACATATAAAATTATGAAGGGAATAGATAAGATAAAAACAGGGAGGTTGTTTCCACTGGTGGGTGAAACTAGAACTAGGGGGCGTAGCCTCAGAATAAGGGGGAGCAGCTTTAGGTCTGAGTCGAGGAGGAACTTCTTCATCCAAAGGGTTGTGAACCTGTGGAATTCCCTGTCCAGTGAAGCAGTTGAGGCTTCCTCGCTAAATGTTTTTAAGGCAAAGATAAATAGATTTTTGAAAGTAAATGAATTAAGATATATGGTGAGTGGTTCAGTAAGTGGAGATGAATCCACGATAAGATCAGCCCTGATCATATTGAATGGCGGAGCAGGCTTGAGGGGTGAGATGGCCAACTTCTGCTCCTATTGCTTATGTTCTTATATAAATATTACGGCCACAAGGGCAGGTCAGAGGCTGGGAATCCTGCAGCAGGAAATTCACCTCCTGACTCCCCAAAGCCACTTCACTGTCAATTAGGCACAAGTTAGGAGTGTGATGGAATACTCCCCACTTGCCTGAATGGGTACAGCCCCAACAATACTCAAGAAGCTTGACACCATCCAGGACAAACCAGCCGCTTGATTGGCACCACATCTACAAACGGGCCAGTTTAATTGGGTATGTAAGAAGGCATACAGAACACTTGTCTTTATTGGTCGAGGCATAGATCATAAGAGCAGGGAGACCATGTTGGAGCCATACAGACTTTTGGTTAAGCCACTGGAGTACTGTGTGCAGTTCTCCAGAAAGGATGTGATTTCACTGGAGAGGGCACAGAAGCAATTCACCAGGATGTTGCCTGGAATGGAATAAGTTAACTATGAAGAAAGGCTGGATAAACTTGTGTTGTTTTTGTTAGAGCAAAGAAGTTTGAAGCAGGGACCTATAAGGTTATAAGGGACACGGAGGGTGTGTATAGAAAGCAGCTGTTCCCTTAGTCGAAGGGTCACTAACATGGAGGCACACTTTTAAGGTGGAAAGCAGAAGGTTTTGGGGAACTTAAGATAAAAGGTATTTCATCTAGTGGATGGTGGGGTTCTGGCATGCACTGCCAGGAGTGTAGTTGAGGTGAAACATCACAACCTTTAAAAAAAAGTATTTGGCTGAAATGTAATGACATTCAAGGCTACGGTCCCCAGTACTGGAAAGTAGGACTAGTGTAGATTTAGCATAATTTTAGTGGTACAGCCTCTGTACTGTATGATTCCAGATTCACTCCTTCTACCACCAAGATTCAGTAGCAGCAGTGTGTACCATCTACAAGATGCACTGCAGAGATTCACCTCCTTAAGACAGCGCCTGCCAAACCCATGACCACTTCCATTTGGAAGGACAAGGGCAGCAGCTGAATGGGACACCACCATTGAAAAGTTCCCCTCCAAGCCACTCATCATCCTGACTTGGAAATATGTTCCATTCCTTCACTGTTGCTGAGACAACATCCTGGAATTCCCTCCCCAAGGGCATTGTGGGTCTACCTACAGCGCATGGACTGCAGCGGTTCAAGAAGGCAGCTCACCCCCACCTTCTCAAGGTCAATAAATGCTGGTCCACAAGACCATAAGATATAGAAGCAAAAATAGGCTATTCAGCCCATCGAGTGTATGGCTGATATAGTTCAACCCCATTCTCCTGCCCCATAGCCCTGGATCCTATCACTGATCAAGAACCTATCTATCTCTGTCTTAAATCAACTCACTGACTTGGCCTCCACAGCCCTCTGTGGCAATGAGTTCCACGGATTAACCATCCACTGGCTAAAGAAATTCCACCTTATTTCATTCCTGAAGGGTCACCCCTCCACTCTGAGGCTGTGCTGTCAGGTCCCAGTCTCTCCTACTTAGTGGAAGCATCTTTGGCATGTCCCCTCTATCCGGGCCTCTCAGTATTCTGTAAGTTTCAATCAGATCCTCCTTATCCTCCATCGAGAGTCCCAGCCTCATCATGCAATCCTCACATGACAAGCCCTTCAGCTGTTGGAAATTGTCCTGAACAAGATCTCAGAACTTTTGCCCTTTTCCCCTTATGCTATCACTGTCCCAGTCTACACATGGATAGCTAAAGTCCCCCATTATAACTAATCTATACCACGTAATGGCATCTCTGTCATCCCCCTTCTTTTATAACATTTATTTATTCATTCGTGGGATATGGACTTTGCTTGCTGGCCCAGCATTTTACTGCCCATCCCTAATTTCTCAGAAAGAAGTTAAGAGTCCACCAAATTGCTATGGGTCTGGAGTCACATGTAGGCCAGACCAGGTAAGGATGGCAGATTCCTTCCCTAAAGAACCAATGAACTGGATGAGCTTAGACAGAAGCATAATAAGTTGCTGTTACTTTGATGAGCTGGGGAGGAGTCAGAATAAATTCTGCTCTTATAACTGCACATATCTTACGTTTTACAGCTGAACATGAAGAGGTTCAAAACCGGACTTTCACAAACTGGGTTAACGCACAACTGGCAAAGGTAAGAATTAAGGGATCACAGAAATTTCAGGTGCATTTCTACAGCAGATGTAACTAGCTTGGAACATTCCAAAGTCCCAGTGCGGTACTACTGCCTGGTGCAACACAGGAGATGCATTATCCAATTTCTACACAACAATGAGGTAATGAGAAGGTCACTTACAGTAATGATATTGGTTGATTGATAAATATTGGCCTGATAGCTATGGGGAACGTAACAACATACAAAATAGGTGCAGGAGTAGGCCATTCGGCCCTTCGACCTTGCACCGCTATTCAATATGATCATGGCTGATTATGTAATCTCAGTATCCCATTCCCGCCCTCTCCCCAAACCCCTTGATCCCTTTAGCCACAAGGGCCATGTCCAGCTTCCTCTTGAATGTATCTAATGAACTGGATCCATCAGCTTTCTGTGGGAGAGAATCCCACAGGTTCACAACTCTCTGAGTGAAGAAATTCTTCCTCATCTCAGTCCTGAATGGCTTACCCCTTTTTCTTAGATTATGACCACCTAGTTCTGGACTTGCCCAACATTGGGAACATTCTTCCCACATCTAGCCTGTCCAGTTCCATGAGGATTTTATATGTTCCTATGAAATCCCCCCCTTCTACTAAATTCCAATGAGTAAAAGCCCAGTTGATCCAGTCTTACTTCATATGTCAGTCCTGCCATCCCAGGAATCAGTCTGGTGAACCTTCACTGGACTCCCTCAATATCAAGAATGTCCTTCCTCAGACTAGGAGGCCAAAACTGCACACAATCCTCAAGGTGTGGCCTCACCAAGGGACTGTATAACTGCAGCAAGACATCCTCACTCCGATACTCAAATCCTCTCGCTATGAAGACCGGCATGCCATTAGCTTTCCTCACTACTGGCTGCATCTGCACGCCAACCTTCAGCAACTGTTCCACCATGATACCCAGGTCTCATTGCACCTCACCTTTTCCTAAACTGCCACCATTCAGATAATAATCTGCCTTCCTGTTTTTGTGACCAAAGTGGATAACCTCACATTTATCCACATTATATTGCATTTGCCCACTCAGCCAGTCTGTCCAAGTCACCCTGCAGCCTCTTAGCATCCTCCCCACAACATACACTGCCACCCAGCTTAGTGTCATCTGCAAATTTGGAAATATGGCATTCAGTTCCTTCGTCCAAATTGTTAATGTATATTGTGAACAGCTGGGGTCCCAGCACTGAACCCTGCAGCACTGCACTCGTCACTAGGACCCATTTATTCCAACTCTCTGCTTCCTGTCTGCCAACCAGTTCTCTATCCCTGTTAATACCTTGAGCTTTAATTTTCCTCACTAATCTCTTGTGTGGAACCTTGTCAAAAGCCTTTTGAAAGTCCAGATACACAACATCTTCTGATTCACCCTTGTCCATTCTACTGGTCACATCCTGAAAAAATTCCAGAAGATTTGTCGAGCATGATTTCCCTTTAGTGAATCCTTGCTGACTGGGACCGATTCTGTCACTGCTTTCTAAACGCTCAGTTATTACAACCTTAATAATTGACTCCAGTATTTTCCCCACCACTGATGCCAGGCAAACCCGCCTATAATTAACTGTTTTCTCTCTCCCTCCTTTTTTAAAGAGCTACCCTCCAGTCCATTGGAACTCTTCCAGAGTCTACAGAATGCTGGAAAATCATCACCAATGCATCTGCTATTTCTAGGGCCACGTCCTTAAGTACTCTGGGATGCAGAGCATCAGGCCCTGGGGACTTATCAGGTTTTAATCCCATCAATTTCCCCAATACCATTTCCTTACTAATAAGGATTTCCTTCAGTTCCTTCTTCATGCTTGACCCTCTGTCCCCTAGCATTTCCCGAAGCTTATTTGTGTCCTCCTTAGTGAAGACAGATCCAAAGTATTTGTTCAACTGGTCTGCCATCTCTTCGTTTTCCATTATGAATTCACCCGATTCTAACTGCTAAGGTCCTACATTTGTCTTCACCAGTCTTTTTCTCTTCACATATCTATAGAAGATTTTGCAACCAGTTTTTATGTTTTCTGCAAGCTTACTTTCATATTCTATTTTCCCTTTCTGAATTAAAGCCTTTGTCCTCCTGTGCTGAGTTCTAAATTTCTCCCAGTCCTCAGGTTTGCTGTTATTTCTGGCCAATTTATATTCCTCCTGTTTAGATTTAACACTGTTCCTGATTTCCCTTGTTAGCCATTGTTGAGCCACCTTCCCTGTTTTACTCTTATGCCAGACAGGGATGTACAATTGTTGAAGTTCGTCCATGTGTTCTTTAAATGTCTGCCATTGTCTACCCACCGTCAACCCCTTCAGTATCTTTGGCAATGCATGCCTCATACCATCGAAGTTAGCTTTCTTTAAGTTCAGGTCCCTAGTTTCAGATTTAATTGTGTCACTCTCCATCTTAATGAAGAATTCTACCGTATTATGGTCACTCTTCCCCAAAAGCTCTTGCACCATAATATTGCTGATTAACCTGCTCTCACTACACAATACCCAGTATAGGATGGCCCGCTTTCTAGTTGGTTCCTTGACATATTGGTCGAGGAAACCGTCCCTCATACATTCCAGGAAACCCTCCTCCATTGCATTGCTACCAGTTTGGTTAATCCGATTAATATGTAGATTGAAGTCACCCATGATAACAACATAAGAATTAGGAGCAGGAGCAAGCTATTCAGCCCTTTGAGCCTCCTTAAATTTGCCCAAAATCTCAGCATCCATCACACTCTGAGACGATGAATTCCACAGATTCATGATCCTTTGAGAGAGGTAATTTCTCCTCATCTCTGTTTTAAATCTGCCACCCCCTAAAACTATAACTTCTCATTCTATTCACCCACAAAATGAAACATCCTCTCTGTGCCTACTTTCTCCAATCAGCTTCAGCATCTTACGTACCAAAGTTAGATCCTTTCTCATTCTTTTAAACTCCACAGAGTATTGGCCTAAACTGCTCAGTCACTATTCTTTGACTTGGTGCCATGGGAACCATCTGAGGTGTTTAATATCTTACTTGACAATGCAGCTCCTTCCCCCGAGGGCTGCACTAAAAACATTTTAGATTGTATATTAATATGTTATAATAACAGGAGGTGATGGCTAGTGCTTTTATCGCTAGTAGGGGAGGTGATGGCCTAGTGGTATTGTCACTGGACTGTTAATCCAGAGACCCAGATAATGTTTTGGGGGCCTGAGTTCAAATCCCACCACGGCAGATGGTGGAATTTCAATTCAATAAAAAATATCTGGAATTAAGAATCTAATGATGACAGTGAATCCATTGTTGATTTTTGGAAAAACCCATCTGGTTCATTAATGTCCTTTAGGGAAGGAAACTGCCATCCTTACTTTGTCTGGCCTACATGTGACTCCAGACCCACAGCAAATGGGTTGACTCACAACTGCCCTCTGGGCAATTAGGGATGGGCGATAAATGTTGGCCTGGCCAGCAACACCAGAACATCCCACAAAGAAATAATAAAAAATACTCAAGGCTCTGGGGTTGGATTCAACTCCATCATACTTTGAGACAAGAGGCACTGAGTCGCTCAGTGAAGGGAGGAGTGAGAAATGAATCAGACTAACATCCTGCTTTTGCATTCCAACAGCACGAGACCCCATCTGCCATCCAGGACTTGTTCCAGGATCTTCGGGATGGACACAGGCTCTTGGATTTACTGGAGGTTCTCTCAGGACAGCAGATGGTGAGAAAGGAACTGAGGGATACAGTAACTGGTGGAGTTAATCAGCCTGTAGCCCTAGTATGATGAGCCAGGTCGCAACACAAAGGATATTCAGCTCAGTTGAACATAAGGCTGCCAACTCGGGTTGCATTCCTGGAGACTTGATCCAAGAACCTCTCCCATTGAAGCAGCTTCATTCCCCACCAATTGCTTCTTGTCAGTGGTCACATGTACAGTGATAGCTATCAGGAAAAGACTGAACAGGCTGGGGATCTTTTCTCTAGAAAGGAGAAGGCTGAGGGGTGACCTGATAGAGGTCTTCAAAATTATCAAGGGGTTTGGCACTTGCAAGGGAGACCAGAACTAGAGGCCATCAGTATAAGAGAGGCCCTCGTAAATCCAATCAGGCACACTCTTCAGTCAGAGAATTGTGAGAATGTGGAGCTCACTGTGAAGGGGAAGGAGATGTTTCCTGGACATACAAATGAAGATTTGGAAAAGGAGCAGGAGTAGACCATCTGGTCCCTCAAGCCTGTTCCATCATTAAGATCATGGCTGAGCTGATTGTAGCTTCAAATCTGCATTCCTCCTGATAACCTTTTACTCCATTGTTTATCAAGAATCTGTCCACCTCTACCTTAAAAATATTCAAGGACTGTTTCAGGAAGAGAGTTCCAAAGACTCACAACCCTCTGAGAGAAAAGAATCTCTTACATCCTCAAAATGCAAAATCTACACTCGTTGAGTTTAGTTTAATGTGTAAATGTGCACCTCAGTTTTAAAACAGTGACTCCTAGTTCTAGATTCTCTCACAAGAGGAAACACTCTCCCCACACCCACCTGGTCAAGACCCCTCAGGATCATATATGTTGTCTCTTATGTTTTTCATCTCCAGCTGAAACAAATGTTGCCTGTCCATCCTTCCCCCATGAGGCAACCCACACATTCCAGGTCTGAGTCCAGTACAAGGACTGTCAAGGATAAACATCAACAAGACCAGCTGAGCCAAATAGCCTGTGTTGCTACTACTATAAATGAGGAACACAACATCCAGAACTTATATGAATGTAACAAAAATTCTCAAGATGTTTCAAAGGGGCATTATAAGACACAATGTGATGCCAAACCACAGCTATTAGGTCAGATGGACACACAGAGCTATATTGAAGGAGTGCCCCAAAGAAGGATAGTGAGGTAGAAAGGTAGAGAGCTTGGAGCCCAGACAGGTGAAAGCACGGTTCCCAATGGTGGGATGATTAAAATCAGGATCGATATAGGGGAAGGATCAATGTGGGAAGGCAACGGCCTTGTGGTATTATCGCTGGACTGTTAATCCAGAGACTCAAATAATGTTCTGGGGACCTGGGTTTGAATCCCGCCATGGCAGATGGTGGAATTGGAATTCAATGAATATCGAATTGAGAATCTAATGATGACCATGAATCCATTTTCATTGTCAGGAAAAACCCATCTGGTTCACTAATGTCCTTTCGGGAAGGAAACTGCCATCCTTACCTGGTTTGGCCTGCATGTGACTCCAGACCCACAGCAATGTGGTTGACTCTCAACAGCCCTCTGGGCAACTAGGGATGGGCAATAAATGCTGCCTGGCCAGCGACACCCTCATCCCATTAATGAACAGAAAAAAGGGACAGAATCAGAAAAGTGCGCCTATCTGTTTTTGGGGATGTTAGAAATAATGCCCCCTTAATTCCTGCAGTCATCACAAAAGTTAAAGATTTTAGAAAGTACACCCAATACCCCAATTTACCTGACTTTCAGACCCAAGCTGATAGAAATCCTTGACCAGGTTTCTGTACCAAACAAGAATAATTATTTATTGCAAGTCACGCATACATACACATGCAGATGCATGGAGACACGCACACACATAAAAAGCTAGGAAAACTAGCATATGGGTGCAGGAAAGCTTGAAAGCAGCTCTATGTTCCCTATTCAGGATTTGCTGAGATAATGTTTATGGTTCTTATGCTCGTCAGAATGTACTTTTTATCTGTCTTTCTCCAGGAGCTTCCACTGATTTGCAAAAGACACAGTGGCTGGTTCACTTAGAAAGGTTTCTGATGTATTGTTAAAAGTCACAGCTTACAGCAACTACTGAAAAAAAGATAAACTGGTTTTCTTCAGGTTTAAGATAGCTTTTAACTGCAGAGAACAGAGACAGCTCCTCTGCTCGTGGAAATCAAATCACTGTTCCCTATCTCATTCAATCGCACGGTTATTGGCAGCAAAAGGCTTTGCCATCAATAACTGGTCACTAATCAGCATCTTGTTACCACCCAACTGCATCTGTATACAGCCCCTTGGATCCAGTTCGTCTGCAACCACTTCACTTACTGCTTCTTCAAACAGCTGTTTCCACAATGTCCGCTGTCAGTCTCTGGTCACTTGCTTTTCAAAATCTTTAAAAGAATGTTTTAAAACAGTTCTTCCTCATTTCAGTCTGCAAAAATAAAAAAAAGTGTTTCCAATTTGAAAACAAGGATGTGAACATTGCTTATATGTGATGATTGATGTAGGCCAATGAGTACAGAGGCAATGAGGGAATGGGACTCGATGCGACTTAAGGCATGGGGAGCAATGATTTGACTGGCTTCGAGTTTATGAGCGATAGAATGTGGGAGACCTGCCAGAAGTGTATTGGAATAGCCGAGTAGAGAGGTCAAGAGGGCATGAATGAAGGCCTGAGCCATGGATAGGCCAAGACACGGGTGAAGTCAGCTGATGTCACTGAGGTAGAAATGGGTGGTCTTCATGATGATAGCGGTATTGGGGCAGAAGCTCATCTCAGGACTAAATGCAACACAAAGGTTGTGAGCATTTTGGTTTAGTATCAGAATGTTGCCCAGGAGAGGGATGGAGTCATTAGTAAGGGAATAGATTTTGGAGCAGGGAGTGGAACTTGAGTTTCAGCCTTTCCAGTATTTAATTTGAGGGAATTTTTGCTGATCTGGTCCTAGATGTCAGATAAGCCATCTGATAATTTGAAGACAGCAGACGAATGAAGAGAGGCAGTGATGGATAGAGCTGGGTTGTCCTCAATGTACACGTGTAACTGAGAAATAGGAGCGGTCATAGTGAGGTAATGGTGCAGGAGTAGGAACAGAATCCTTCAAAGTGACTCTCCTTTTAAGATTAGACAGATAACAGTGCCATCAGGTGAGAGTAGTGTAAGCTTTTGGGAGTTTGTGCCCACAGTTACCTAATATAATCAGTGTAATATTCATAAGGAATTTTCAGATAGTTT